AAAATAAGGAGCTGATACCAAGGACTCAAGTAGAAAGCAAATGTTTTGAGAATGATGATGGCAACATATGTACAAATGTGCTTGACACAATGGATGAATGAATGTATGGATTGTGATAAAAGTTGTATGAGTCCCCAATAAAATGATTTTTTTTTAAAAAGAAAGAAAATGATGGCAACATATGTACAAATGTGCCTGACACATGGATAGATGTATGGATTGTGATAAGAGCTGTAAGAGCCCCAATAAAATGATTTTTTTAAAGAGAAAAAAATTCTCATTGAACACACCAACAACTCCCAATTCACATCTCCCAGCTAGAATTATTTCCTGAGCTCCAAACTCACATCCAGGATCTTGTCCACACCTTCATTTGGATGTCCAGTGGGCACACAGACATAGTCAAATCTCAATGCCTGATTTCTACTCAAACTTGCTTCAATCACAGTCCTACTTTTACCTCTGAAAATGAACCAATAAAAACCCTATGGGTCACAACAGAATATTGTCTGACATACAAGTAGTCATAGTGCTAGAAGATGAGCCCCCTAATTTGGATGGTAATAAAAATGTACAGTAGCTTAACAATGGACTTGAGCACACCGAAAATCATCAAAGTGGTCTAAGACCGGGCAACCTTTTGTTCTATTGTCCATGGGATATCTGTGAGATAGAGCTAACTTGATAGCAACTAACAATATGACCACCTAACATACTATGCGTATTTTATTTATAAGTTTATGTCTCTTTGCCCATGAATATGTAAGCTCCATGGAGCTTTATGCTTAGCACGTGCATGGCACACAAAGGAATTCTATGAATAAGTTGAAGAAAGGAGCCCCCTGAAGCCATGCCCTGCAGACAGGCGTCAGAGGCAGAGGACTCCGAAAAGGCATGGTTTTGTGGGAATATGAGACCCAATATGAACTAGGGGCAGAGGCCGAAGATAAAGGTGGCTGAGGGCAACTGACCCCCACCTTTGTCCACCATGTCAAAGCCTCCAGCCGGACAACTGGGACTCAAAGAGGCTTTCTGAGAAACAGAGCATCCTCTTTAAAGATAACTCTAAGGGACAAAATGAAGGAAGTACCAGAATGAAGAGGTTAACAGCAAGGACATCAGCCAGAAGCCAGCACGGAACTAAGGCCATGGATCTAGAGATGACAGGAGAATTCTAAAGTCAGATCCCCAAGTGCCATTTGGGGGAATGTAGCACAGAGAGGACAAGTACAACATGTTGCAAGAGGGCACCCTCCCCAAGGTGACCATGGTCCCAGTCCCAAGCTGCTCTCCTGTGAGTACATCTATACCACATGAAGCCACATGTGAAGTCTAAGTCCCACTTCTCCTAATCTAGCCAGTTAGGACCCTTGTCTGTGGGACCCAAGATCTAGGTGTGCCCCTAACAGACATCCTGCATCCCTAAGTACATCTTCCAAATGATTGCTGTCATTCTGACTTTTCTGCACTATATTCCATGTCAAGGCAGGTCACTCAGTGTGTATCTATTATTATTTACTTAATTTACATCCAACATTTAGTTAGAAGTTCATAAGGACCAGAGGAAAAGCCTAGGCCAGGCTTTTCATATGGAAGCCAGCTATCATGTGGAAAAGCATGAGGTGCGCAGAGGAACACACATATTCAACCTGTCAAGGACAAAATCTGACATCAGGAAACAAATGTCCTCCAAACCTCCATATTTTCTCCATTAGAGAAAATAACCCTTAATTCATACTGCAGAACTGAGTAAGAAGAGAAATCTATGTGGGCTTATACTTGAAAAACTCCACAGATATGTGTGCACGTGAGATTAAGGTCCTGAAAAAGGAGTATGACCTTTGTCAGGGCCTCCTGCAGAACGCACAGGTAAGTGAGGCCTGGTAAGGAAAGCCGGGCTGTCTGCCTTCCAGGTCCGATTCTTAAAATGTGAATTTCCAACAGATGAGATGGCGGTCAAGGGAACTCAAAGCTAACCACTGAGATTCAACCAGACCTAAACCAGTCACTGGATGGGCAGAATATGGGAAAAATAAAGAACAGGTAGTTCTATGAACACGGGGAAACTGCCAGAACCATTCCCTGGGTATCTGGTGAGAACACTGGGATGGACGTCTGTGGGGAGGCTTTCAAACACGCTTTGACCATTTACATTCTTTACAGTGCAAAACTAGTCCTTGTTATGTTTCCTAAGGTCAATATAGAATAAGTCAAAACTCTCTAAACTGTTAAAGGGCATGCAGGAAAATACTCCAAAGCTAAATATAGTAATCAAGCAAATAACCAAGTCAAACAAGATATAATATTGAGGCTTAAATGAACAACTGTTTCCAAGATTGAGTGAGATAGCACCTTATCAGAGGCAGCCATTCAACAGAGCCCATTCTGTAAAAGTAGGAGATCAGAGCTCACCAGAGACCACATGCAGAACATGTGTTCTAGTAAGCGGCAGTGAAAGTCTGTTTCTAGTTTAACCTGCAGCAGCTGTAGGCTCTGACCAAGATACATTTTTAATTAGTCAAAATAGAAGGCCCTTTTTTAGTTACCCACGGAATTGGGTGTCTTCAAACAACTCAAGCTTAACTTGCAGTACAGCTAACTCTGTTAACCATGGTGATGGGGGTTTTAGGAAGGACACCAGATCACTGGGAAGCAAAACCATCTCATTTTATATTCAGAAGGCATTTATTACCGCAATAGGAATCTTGGCCTCCAAGGAGGATGCATCAAGGATCTATCTTCCGCTTGTCTAGTACGTGAAATTTAGAGCACATATCTGATTCAAGAAGTCGTGTGGTCTGATACACCACTGCCACATTTGTCTGAGCAGAGTGTAGACCCCACCAATTATTTAGGGCCCTAGGGCACCCTTTTTTAATCCAAGTAGCAGTTCTTCTACTGCCCATTCAGCAGAGGTTATAGCAGATGACATGTGACCAAGAATGAGGAGCTTAGTCAGAAAGTCTGTGGACCCAGAATGAGGAAGGTAGAGAGTTGGCTGTACTGGCCTGACACACACTCCCAGCAGGTTGCACACCATTTGGGGGGGGAAAAGCAAACCACCATCCCACCTTGGATAACATGGTCACAAGAGAGGCAAGGCTGGGATCAATCCCCATTTGGGTGGGCAGCTAACCCCAGGTGCTGCAGGAGAGGATGGTGCTGGCTCAGCCACTGCAGCTCCTCACTCTGACCCACTGGGGTACGTGTGCAGTGCTGGGGGCACAGTGAGATCTCAGGTGCTGTGGGCAAGGAAGAACACCCACACACCCACACCCACACACACACTAAGAGAAAGACAAAGAGAGAGAGAGACCATTAGAAGACCACAACAGTCTCTTCAAAGAGAGTGTATAGAGAGGACAGTCTTCTCTAATGCTTGCTGCCCTTACAACACCTAGGCAAAACCTACCTTCCGAAACGCACAGCTAGACTTTAGGTCTGAGGGGTCTAGGGCACCCTGAATTATAACCAGAGCAGCATCACAGGGCCCAAGGGAACCTCAGTAGGAGCTGTGACCACAAGTTCTTATCTAGACTCCAGACTGCTATACCAGGATACTCCACAAACTTCATGGCATGTGCTGCTACATTAGCTGCTTCTCTGTAGCCTCTGACAGATTTCTGAGAATAATGAGTGTGAAAGACATTTGAAGTGAAGAGGCACTCCACCTCACCATAGCCAAAGGGACTATGGAAGGAGGTGAGGGAGTGAAGGGAAAGTCATTGAGATAAATAAGACAATTTCACTTCTTAAAAATAAATCTTTATTCTTTGGTTCAACTTACAGGCGGGGGGGAGGGGATGTGGAGGATAAAATTAACTAGACATGGGACAAGAAAACATTAACTTTATAACAATTTACAATTCCTAGGGGCAAAAAAAAGTTTGACTTTAATATGCAAATCATCTACTTGAATCATTTCTCAAAATATCAGTGATCCCAGCATAATGTAAAATTGAAACGAGCCCCAAGCAGGAAGCATTAGTAAGTGCTCTGGTAATAGAACTTCTTTCTGAATAATTAAGCAGGGGCCAATAGGGCAAATTACAAACAACCTCCCTTAAAAAACTTTTTCCTGTTATATAAAGTCTTACTGACTCCAAAAATAAAGGGTGTGGGGAACTGCATTTTAGGTCAACTACATACTACGATTTAGCACTACTAAACCGCCCAGGTGGCTATGGACACTCATGCCCAGAGTACAGGTTGACTCTGGGAATTGAAGTAGGATTGCTTTCCATTTTTTTAATTGCTCTGAGTCAAGAGCCATGATGCTCAATGTACCTTACAGAAACTTGCTGTCAGTCCCTGAAATCTCTTCTGAATGCTGTTGAGCTAGGAAGAGGTCCAAAGAAATCTGACATGAAAGAAAAGAGAATAGACAGCACAGCTTACCCAATGCAGACCCAGCCATGCAACCACACCAGTAAGTGCTCTCATGTGCTGTTTAAAGAGGGACTTGAGGTTTTGGGGGTTCTTTGTTTTTCTTTTATGTTAGACAGAGAGACTTCTGCTGTCTATCCTCTGTGCTGTTGCAGTAAAATAAAATAGAGGCATTCAGGAGACCTGTAGCCCAATCATCAGAAAGACATTTAATACAAGATTAAAGAAGCAATATCATCAAGAAAGTAGTCATTTCTGCCTAGCTATCAAAATAGTTAATCCCCAGATGCTTACATAGCAAAGAGAGCCACTCTGATCCCTCCTCAGATCCCTCTATGCCAGTTCTGTGGCTCTTTACCATGGAGGGTACAAGCTCCTACCCACACATACTGAATCAGATCCACGATGCAGCCCAGGACGTTTGGAATTACCCAGCAAGCCCAGTAAATAGTATGAAGACCTTTTCATTACCATATCTTCATTTAGCGCAAGGGCTATGTTTCTAGACTCTCAAAGCTCTGCAGAGGTGCATCTCTCAGCCCAGAGTACTCTGTACCTGTGATCCTGTACGACTGTGGTGCTTAGTAAGGGGTAGGGACTTTACAAGTACTCACAGCCATGGTAAGAAGCCGGAGAGCCCCCAGCTTTGCCATACTCCTGTTCCGAGTAGCTGGTAGAGAGGTTGGGCTGGCTGGAGCCACGACCAAACGTAATCTGATTGCTGCCAGCGCCTGTGGCAACCTGGGCCATGCGCTCTTTGGTTTTGAGAGCCTGGGCCCTCTCAGCCTTCAGTCTTTCCTCATCCTTGAGGAGAGCCACCAGCTGCTTAGACTTCTCACGCACATTGATGCCCTGGTCCTTGCCATCCCTGTCAATGTACTGGAAGTCCTTCAGGGTCTGGATCGCAAAGATATTCTCACGGCACTGCTGTGCCACCCGCTCAGAGCCTGTCTTGATTAGGTAGTCCAACAGTGTGAGTGCTTTATACACATGTCGCCAGTTCTTGCCATGGTCATTGAGCCGCTTCCACACCATGCTCATGATCTCTGAGAAGGCCACGACATTGTAAGTGAGGTCTGCAATCTCTGTCATCAGGGAACTGGATGGGCCCCAGGGGTCGTTGGAGGTGGCTTCCCGGACTTTTATTTCAGCTTCTGAATAATTGTTCACAATGTTCTTCATCTGTCGTCTGATAGATGAAGTCGTCATTTTTATTTTCCCTACTCCAAATTTAAAGCCCTCCAAAACAAAATTACTTCTTGTATTCAGTAAACTCACAAAGGGGTTTAGACTACGAAGCGTCAGTTTCTGTAATTAACCTGGAGTTGGACCCCTGGACAATCATTTCTTCTGCTGGAACTGTGGACTTGTGAAACTGAAAGCCATGACCTAGAGAAAGAAAGAGAAATACTTTATTGTGACTTGAGATCCCTAGGCAGGAAAATAAGTGGGCTCAGACATCTTGGAGGACAGCAGGTTTTGAGGTATGAAAGAGACAGTTCTTTCAAAGTGAAGATTTACACTGAAGATTAAACTTTTGGAAGAAAAGAAGTAAACATCATTGACTATTGCTCTATTTCCAAAACACGTGTACTGATGATTTCTAGTGCCTGGAAATTAATCAGAACAATGGGAAAAGTCAATCTTGACATTTTAAGTTATACATGTATGGGCAAGAAAGCCTGTCACCTCAGGTACAGTAGTTCCTTGTTATCCTGGTTCCAGGACAGCTTCTACCCCAACTCTCACAAAGATATATCAAAATCTTTAGATGCTTAAATCGCATATAAAATGGTGCATTGTTTGTATATGACCTACACCTACATCTACACACATCAATCACCTCTAGATTACTTATACTTAATACACTCTGTCTTAGCCCTTGAGGGATTCTGACTTCTTTTTTCTCCCTGAATATTTTGATCCAGTTGGTCAAATCGGCAGACATGGAGTGAACAGAACGGAAAGTCACCTGTGGATCTTAACCACAAATACCTATCTATCTCTTTAAAAGTATTTATTATATTGGCTTTAGTCCACCATGCCCAGGGATTTTTTTCTTGAGCACCACTTTTCTCTGACCTGTCAGTTTAAGAATTTATAAAGATTCCTGACTGCCCTCTTAGAGCAACACTAAAGATCTCCACTTGGCTTCCAAAAGGTAATACAACTGTAAAATATCTGACCCAAGCTAATACAACCTCAAAAATAATTCAGTTCTAGTCTAGCCTTCTCACTCAGAGAACATTGAGACGCAAAGTTAAATACATGTTAACAAGTTCACCAAGGCCTATACAGCAAATATATTCACTCTTCTCTTCCTTTGATGTGAAACACTTCATGAGCAAGAATGTGGTCTATACATGGTCTTGCAAAGCTCTTTCCCCTATACTCAGTATATCCCAACTAGCATCTGGCCGCCACAGCTTTGCACTGAGTCTATGGACTGTATATGTTAGTGTTGGGTTTTATAGTGATACCCATAGGTATCACATTGGTAAGTTATTTGGGGGTTCTGGGAAAACTCAACAATTTTCCCATATAAATCAATGGTAATTGCAAGTTTGCTTTATGCCATTTCAACTTAGGAAAGGTTTCATGGAACCTCTATCGTTCTGGATAGCAGGAGGAACCTGTAATGAGAATGTTGGTATGCTGTGACAAATGTAACAAAGGTCACTGAACAATTTGAACACTCTCTGCTTTGAAATGCATTCCAACTCACTGTGACTTCATAGAACTGTGAGGAACTGCCTCCGTGTTCCCAAACTAGTTAGTCATCTTTCTGCACAAGCCTCATCTTCCCAGAACAATGTGTATAGAAATTCTTAAATAGAAATCTAACTTGCTATATAAACTCTTGTCCAAAACACAAAGAAATATAATAAATAAAATGGATTAACTAAAAATAAAAGAACCATTCCCTTTACATTAGCATCAAAAACTATCAAATAGTCATGTTGTTGTTTGTTGTTAGGTTCCACCAAGTTATTTTCTGACCCATATTGACCCTATACACAACACAACACAACCCTGGGCCATCCTCACCATTGTTCCTGTGCTTGAACCCAACTTTGCAGCCAGTGTCAATCCATGTCGCAGACGATCTTCCCCTTTTTAGCTGCTCCTCTACTTCACCAAGTATGATGTTCTTTCCAGAGGTGTCTTTCTTCAGACAACAAGTCCAAAGTAATTAAGGCGAAGCTTGTCATCCTTGTCTCTAAGAAGTACTATGGCCATGCTTCTTCCAAGACAGATCTGTTTGTACTTTTGGCTATCCATGGTCCTTCCAATATTCTTCACCTGTACAATCAAACCCATTGAGTCTTCTTCAGTCTTCTTTATTCAATGTACAACTTTCATAGTCAAATGAGATTGAAAATGCCAAGATTTAGGTCAGGCACACTCAATTCTCAAAATAAACTCCGCTTTTTACAACACAAAAGAGGTCTTGTGCAGATTACCTAATGCAATACTATTTTTAATCTCTTGACTGTTGCTTCCATGAGCATTGATTTTGGATCCAAGCAAGACAAAATCATTGACAACTTCAATCCTTTCTCCACGTAACCTGATATTTGTCCAGATGTGAAGATTTTGGTCTTTACATTGAGTAAATTCACACTGAAGGCTGCAATCCTCGATCTTCATCAGGAAATGCTTCAAGTCCTCACTTTCAGCAAGCAAGGTTGTGTTATCTATATTCGACTATCACAAGTTGCTAATAAGCCTTCCTCCAATGTTGACACTGAGCTCTTCTTCATATAATCCAGATTCAATGATGATCTGCTCAACATAGAGATTGAACTAGTATGATGAGAGGACACAACTCAGTCACACACCTTTCCTGACATTAGACCACGTGGTATTCCCTTGTTTTGTCTCTTGATCCAAGTACAGTTCCACAAGAGCACAGTGAGGTGTTCTGGAATTCCCATTCTTCTCAAGGATATCCATAGTTTGTTATGATCCACATTGTCAAATGATTTCGCATAGTCAATAAAACACAAGTAAACATCATTCTGATATTCTCTGCCTTCAGCCAAGATCTCTCAGACATCACCAATGATATCCTTTGTTCCACATCCTGTTCTGAATCCAACCTGAATCTTTTGGTAGCTCCTTGTCCATGTATTGCCGTAATTCTTCTTGGATGATCTTCAGCATGATTTTATTTGTACATACTATCAATGATGTGGTTCTATAATTTGAGCAGTCTGGTAGGTCACCTTTATTTAAAATAGATATAAATATGAATATCTTCCAGTAGTTGGTCAAATAGCTGTCTCTCACATTCCCTGGCATAGACAAGTGCTTCCAGTGCTTCACCAGCTTGTAGAAGCATTTCAATTGTATTTCATCCACTCCAGAGCCTTGTTGTTAGCTAATGTTTTCAGTACAGCTTGAACTTCTTTCTTCAGTACCATTGTTTTTTGCTCATATGCTAATTCCTGAAATGGTGGACTGCCGACGAATTCTTTCAGGTAAAGTAATTCTGATGCTTCTTATATCATTCAACATTTTGCCCATGGAATCTTTCAATATTGCAGCTCAAAGCTTGAATTTTTTTGAGTTCTTCTGGTTTAGGATATGCTGAGCATGTTCTTCCTTTCTTCTGTCTTTGCACATTTCATGATAATGTTTTACTTTGTCTTCTCAAGCTGCCCTTTGAAAATTTCTAATGAGTTCTTTGACTTCATCATTTCGTCCACTTGCCTTAGCTACTCTACAATTAAGAGCAAGTTTCATAGTCTCCTCTGACATCTACTTTGATCATTTCTTTTTAATGACATTTTGATTTCTTTATGAATGATATTCTTGATATCTTCCCACAGGTCAGCAGGTCTTCTGTCATTAGTGTTCAACGCAGCAAATCTGTTCTTAGCTGCTTCTCCATCATGTCTTCCCACAGAAGTTGTCCATTTTATTTGTGTGTATTCCATCTGGAAAAGTCCCTGTGTATAATCTTCTGCAGGCTCAAACATAAGAACACTTGTGATGAGGGCACAGGAGCGGACAGCATTTCATGCTTTTTTTACATATGGTATCTATGTATAACTCAACAGCACCTAGCAACATTATTCAGCCATACATAGGAAATGAAATATTGATAAAAGTTATAACATGGATGAACCACATTAGAAGTTACCAGGGCTTGGGTTGGGTGGGGGTGGTTGAAGTTAAAGGATATTACTTAATGCTTACAGGATGTTTTGAATAATGAAAAATTGGGAAGTGGATAGTAGTAATAGTTGCATTACCACTGTGAATGTAATTAATGCCACTAAATTTATCACATCAAAACGGCCAATTGTATGCTGTTATGTACAAGAGTATTTTGAAATTTTCATGGAAAAATTCTATTAACTTTCTATTTCATTTTCCTATGAGCTTTTTGAAGCTCTCTCATTTTTCATCACAATTAAATTGTCTTAAATGAGAAAACTGAGGCCCAGAGGACTATAGAGACTGCTAAAGGGTAGGTCTCACCCAAATAGAAAGCACGTGGCTCTAGTCACCACCCTGGACAGCCCGCTGTTCACAATTCACACGTCTGAACTCATGAGAGAAACACAGCCAAATAAATACAAGGCTCTCTCATTTAGCACTTATGAAAACCATCAAGTTAGTAAGTCAGCTGATTGAGACCCTTCAGCTGGGGCCAGGACCCTGCTTCCAGGGCTCACTTTAGCTCTAGAGCCTTGCCATCTAAAAGCTTGTGAGACCTGTGCCCATCCTACCTCCCTTCCCTTCATCTAAATCAATGGTTCTCAACCTTCCTTTAATACAGTTTCTCATGTTGTAGTGAGCCCCAACCATAAAATTATTTTTGTTGCTACTTCATAACTGTAATTTTGCTACTGTTATGAATCATAATATAAATATCTGATATGCAAGATGTATTTTCATTGCTACAAATTGAACATAATTAAAACATAGTGATTAATCACAAAAAAATATGTAATTATATTTTGTGAGATATTTATTTCTAATTACAAACAAGTCAAATTTTGTCTTGAAGCATGGTGTCACATGGGTAACAGTCTTAAGATAACAACAGTAAACTACATTGCTACGTTTTGCGACAATATGAGTAAAAATCCAACATCAGTGCAAAGGTTAAGATAGCTTCTTTCTCATCAGATCAGAAATTCTCAGGGCAGTCTTTGCAAGAGCACAAGGAAGATCATCTTCCACAAGTCTACTTCTGTATTTAGACTTGATAAATAACAAGCTGGAAAACCCTGTATCACAAAGATAAGTTCCTGGAAATGGAAGAAGGCGCAACACAGTCTCAGACAGAACAGGATATGTCTGCAAATACTTGATCCAGAATTTTGTAACTGCCATTGTAGAGAAATCAGTTCTCGCTGCATCACTGTTAATAA